ATAAATAATGCACGACAGTATTAAATATACCTGATGATGAGGTGGCGGCCTGCTTGAATATCTGGGCTACCTGTTCCTCCGATCTACATATTTCATCAAGTTATCTGTTTTGTTGTTTGTTTTAGCACATCATTATGTCTATTGTGCTCACAATCTGTTCAGGCGCGTTTATGAAAAGTTTACAACCCTTCGCTGTAAGGGATACAAAAAGATACAATCGGCGACATCACGGTGGCTGGCAATATGCATTGAAACGAATGAAGAATATTAATCAAATGTTGATTACCGAACTCCTAACATCTAACTGGTCATCATTCAAAATTTATCGTCACAATCGATCAAGATATAAGAAAAGGAAACTTGTTGAAATACTTTATGCTGAGAATTCTATGTTGTACCAAAAATATAATGTTGAATAAAGCTAATAATAATAATAATACCACAAGGAAAATACGATTTATATACGAAGACGTTTATATTCTAATCGACTCATCATTAGAGGTGGTTACCTTTTCATGACCAATAATATAACTATGATCCCCTCATGGTATTTTATCTGCATTGTTACTTTTTATTTTTTTGGCAGGATCTCATTAATTTACTTTGATAAAGTTTTAAAACAGTACGATTATCTGTATTCACATTTTCTGTTTGGTGTCAGATATCCGGATAATCTTTCTTCTTCTTGAAACATTAAAAAAGTGACATCACTAGGAGTGACATATACTTTCATTACTTCTTACATTTTTAAAAGTTCCACTTTGATTTTCCTATTACCACTCTAAATTTTGTCTTGTTTACAAAGTCTCATGTGTTTTACGTAATATATTAAATTAGTCTATACTTCAAGAGTATCTCGATGAAAAAATAATTTACTAACTGAACTTATGTGTGAATTACTTCTAATAATATTTTCTGAATCCATATGACAGCTGTGAAACCGCGTTCAAAATCACACCAAGATAATCAATATTTTTTTGAACTATCTTAATTCCAAGGTTTTAAATAGCTTACTATTTAATGTGGATAAATGAATAAAGGGTGAAACAACAAATAACCTATTTGATCTTCTAATCTGTCTTGAGTAAATACATAAATATGATGAATCTGTTTATTATGACTAACTTCATTCCATCTTTATTTGTGGTTTTTTGTGTTTTACGTCAGTTACTTTGATAATTTGTTTATTGTTCTACTTGTAATAATACTTCTGAATCAACTAGTTTTTAGTTTCTTTTTGAATGCTATTCAATGAATGTTTGATTGTCTAGAACAATTTCATTACATTATGGAAGTTTTTACCTAATGTATTTTTTTATTGAGATGATGAACTGACTGATGTTAGACCACTATTGAAAACCTGGAAGCACTGGACAGCCGTTTCGTCATATTGTGGGACTCCTCAGCAGTGCACATCCACGATCCCGCTCGCGGGATTCAAACCCAGGGTCTTCAGTCTCGCGCGCGAACGCTTAGCCTAATAGACCACTGAGCCGGCATCCAATGGTGTTAAGCATTCGCACGTGACATTGAATGCCCTAGGTTCGAACCCCGTGGGCGGGATCGTGGATGCGCACTATTGAGGAGTCCCACAATAGGACGAAACGGCCGTCCAATGCTTCCAGGTTTTCAATGGTGGCCTAACATTAATCGGTTCATGATCTCAATCAAAAACTTAAAAATCTCCACAATCCCTATACTGATAATGTGTTTTTGTTGATTGCTTAAATAATCGTTTTATATAACTGTATTGTTTTCTAATGTGCTATCATAACTAATAGACTAAATAACTGTATACGGGAATGCTGTGTTAACATAGTTTTTTTATTTTCCTGTCCCTTAGAATTTGGCTTATTTGATCGGTTATGTGTTTCTTGAACTGAAACGTTTGTGAAATAGTATAGAACTAATCAACGTAATATTGTAAATAATTGTATATGATGAATTTATAATAGAAACGTATTAAGGACAACTTAAGTAATTACAAGTAATTTGATGACATAAAAAGTATCTGACTTAATGAAACAAGTGATGTGTGGTAGTGAAAGTAAAATATGATTGATTGTTGAATGTGGATAGACAGCCACAGCCTATTATGGACTATCAATTATGTAATTTTTCCCTTCTTACCATTGATTTCTACTCTCAACTCACTGTATGTGACTGTTTTTAATGATATTAAATAAAGTCTTCTCGAGTGTTAAAATGGTTCTTTAATTTATGTCATGAATTCTAGTTCTAATATAATATGATTGACCTTATTAACGTTTTATTGTAATATACGTGTGAGAGGGAAAAAAATTGTAAACCATTCGTTATATAAACAAGTGATAATCTTTTCTCACTAAATGGTATATCAAAAGAAAAATAGAATACACAGAAAACTAGATGGAAATAACCAATATGAGAAATCATATAATCACATGACTGAAGTATGGAGAAGTTCCTTGAAATAACCAAACTACAGTGAAATGAGTTAAGTACTTAAGTATTATTCATTAAATAAGAAAAAAGGGAATTCAGCGAGCAAAGTTTTTCTTTTCGACGAAATCATTTACTTAAACCGTACATTCGTATATGTAGTTATATGGAAAATGTATGTCTATAGGAGGATAGAAAAAATTGCATCACCAAAATGGATTCAAGGATAAATAACAAGCGACGTTACGTACTAATCAAGGGGTAAGGAAGAAAATCGTTTATGGGTCAGATAATAAACCACTCAGTGTGATATGTTCAAGAAGTTATGTCTGTATTCAACTATGTAAGTTACATTTTTAATTAAATGCTGTTGATAATGGTAACAACAAGTTATTTTTAAGGAGGAGAATATATTCTGATGTCGAAATCATTAAATTTTAATAAATTTAAAGAATTTTAATATGTTCGTTTTAACTAATGAAATATTCTGAATTATGAGAAGTACAGAAGCTATACAATTTCGCTTGGAAGAACGAGTGTGGATCCCAACCAGATAAGAAGAATAGTATGAAATGCTTGTTTTTGAACCACTATCAGCCAATGAATAGTTGTCCTATTTTTATTTGGATTACATAAGTAGTCTTATGCAAGTTATATCCAAATCTATTCTGACTGAAGTTATCCGTAACGTATGTTCAAGTAAATCGTTATATTTAGTGCCTACAGTCATTTCTGAGTTCATTAAGTGTGTGAATGCTGCTAAGTCATATCATTTTCACCAGAGATTTTATTTAAAGCCTTAACTTTCAACATATTTTTGCTATTTATCCTTCATGTTCGGCTGAGATATACTGACATATTCGTAGTAAACGATTTCTGATAACTTTAGGCACTTGAATTGTAATCTTTAATGAAAATTATGCTCCAACATAAAGTATTTATCAATCAAATGAAAATAAAAGAGGCCGAAAGTGATGAACATCACATACTCCTTGAAAACTGAAAACGTAGATGAAATCCTTAGCTTATGTATTCTCTCCTGTTCCATTTCTCGATTCATGTTTCTGATTGGTGGGAAATGAGCTGAATGAAAAGTCCGGATCAGGAGGGAAGATATGTTAATTCTGTACCCTGAATAAAAATAAATCTGTGACCTAGATGTTCTGAATAATTATTTAATCCATATACTATAACCATTGAAAATGACAGTTGTTTAATCATCCGATATATTGGTTTATTCTGATTTTAATTGGTTAGTTGTTCCTAGTAATAAAAATTATTATTCATATTAACTTCCTTTGAAAAATCTGCCTACAGATGAGAAATTAATTCTGGTTTGGCTCGGAATTTAATTGGAAACTGCAACTAACTTAAATTTCTACTAATCTCAGATGATTTACCTCTACTTATTTTTATGACTGTTTAATTATAGTCCCAGATTGTTGTGTTAAAATGAAGGTATTAAAGATAATTGAATTCCACAATTGTGGAAAAGTAATGATCCATATACAAACAACAATGTCGAATAAAACGTTATAAATATTTAACAATCACTAAAGGATTCGAGAAAGAGTTAAATATAAAGTGGATAAAATATTCTTATTTATAACAAAACAAAAAGAAATACAAAATCAAATATATGTGACTTGAACAGGTGGATTATTCTGTTTCAGTATAATTGAACGCTGGTGGAATTTCGGTTATGGAATAACCAAACTAGAGACTAGCTGAAATACAATAAATAATGCTCATCTTATGCTGTACAGATAACTACAACATTATGAAACTAGAGATGTTTGCTCTATCATACTGATAGCTTCATATACTAAATTCTATGAAGATTGACTTCCAAATATATGTTAAACTCTATTTGAAAATTTGTTGTTTGTAAAATATTACTAATAACTATGAATCTAATAAAATAAAATGAATTCATTTGATTGATTAAGAGAATGTGCATTACACTTCTTATGATATTATTGACTTGGTTCTGATTAGTCCGTGTTAGGATATGTAGATAATGGTGTGAACATCGACACTAAGATGCAGATATATCCGGTCGAAGAGTCTCAACTATGGTGAAATGCTTGTGGTCTATCCCACTCCTAGCCACAGTTCATCTATTCTATAAAAATGCATTCATGTTATCATACAGAAATCGTTGCTATTTGCTCTCTTCAGGTTTTATTTGTATTCGAACACTGACGAAAGGGCAATAAATTACCTAACTATATCACGTTACTAATAACATTAGTTTTTAAGAATAAAGATCTATGTATTTCATTCTTTGAATGGCTCTATACTGATTGAATCCCATCAGGAATTATGATTAAATTAGGTTATAATGATGTGATGACGTTGAAACATGGCAATCAATCGTAAAATTCTCAGTCCAACAGATCGGTCACGACCGAATAGCTCAGTGGTAACGTATCAAAATGTGTAGCTGAGTGATGTGGGTTCCAGTTCTACAGCGAGGATAAAAAGTACACTTTGCTAACGAGTGACAACTAACACGATTTCCTAGCAGAGTTTCCCGTCACGTATACTCAGTCAATTAACAGATAGAAAGATAATTCACCGTTGATACATGTGTAATGTATATATCTCCATAATATACGTACACATCTAAACAATACTAAAACACAGAATAATAACAAAAAGGATACATAAAAAAAGAAATATGATACAAATTATACAAAATAATTATTAACTGTACAGTAGGATTTGTTTCTGTAAAAAATATGAGATGAAGGTAGATGAAATAATTTAAAAAGATTAATTGATACAATGTATTAAGATAAGTTTACACTGAAGTACACATTTATAAAGAGACATTCGTTATGATCTCAATCAATATCTAGCTCCATTCAGTGAAAACAGATAGGGTTTATGGTAATTCGGTTTCAATGAAAATAGAAAATGGAAGACTCAGGAATATCTGCGAACTTAATTTCACAACATCAGTTCAATTTCGTGTTGTTGTCCAGGTGACATATCTGCTTTTCGTTTAGCCCGACGACGTTGACGTGTTATATAACAAAATAATATGCTTAAGACAAGAAATAAAGCAGCAGATGAAACAAGGGCGACTTTTTCCCCAAATGTAAACCAAGCCACTGGTTGACCTAACCATAAAAGGAATAAAATAATGGTAATTATTTTGTTTATGTTTTACATTGTAGCTATGTTTCATAAGAAATGAAAACGAGCGAACCTCCGTATATTTTACGCTCATCACTTGCCTACTTATAAGTAGGTAAATTAAAATTAAAATAATTTTGAGAATTCCAGATTTGATAGATGAAACAGTCAAGTAGATCTCTACCAGCCAAGAAGTAAAGTATTAGTAATTTCTTCACTACTGAACTGTCACGAAGCAAATTTACACTGTTGAAAGATGTGGATTTCAGAGCTGATAGGTCTAGGAATTACTTTAGTCTTACCTAATAATATCAAGAATGTCTAAGCTATGTAGCGTTTCGACTAAATCCGGAAAATATAATTCTAACTTCAAAAAATAGATATTGAATTTTTTCAGAGACAGTGAATTCAGCTGGCAATCTGAGTCAAAATTACCACCCAACCTTCCAGATTCTAATCTTGACTTCGTAATTTTTTATTCATACTCACAGTAAACAATATGTTGGTAATTGAAAAGGTTTATCATTATTTTTAGATGAGAAAGCAATAAAACGTTAGATCGATCGAAATATCGAGTGTTCTTATACGATTGGATTGTGTTTATAAAGACACAGTGTAAGTTGAAAATAGTTTTCATCTTAAAATAATCTTAGGTAAAGAGTCGCTAGAAATCAAAGAGCCATGAATTGTTTTTTCCTAGATTAAGACTTTCAATCGGTGTAAATCTAAGATCTGGAAAATAATAATATACTTGACTTTTCAATCTCGCTGTTGCCGTGAACTTGATCAGCTCCTGAGTTCGTATCTAATAGTCTAAATTTTCAGCTACATTCAGCTCTAAGTGTTGCAGCGTTCTGATATAACTTCATACCCATGAGTAATTGGCTGACCATCAACCCGACTAATTCCACAGACCACGTTTTCTCTGTAGAAAGTATGTGGTGGTATATATGATGAGTTTTAGATCTAATTATTTTCTTACTCCCAACTAAACACGTGGAATCTTTTAAAAAGTTTAACTTTCATGTCATGCAATAATAAATAAATAAATATTAAAACGTTGCAGTATATTCACTGACTGATTACCGTGACTTAAGCGTTAACTTAAACATCCTCACATTATATAACTAGAACAAATTCCCTTTACTTCAGTCAGACACTAATGATCAAGGATCTAGATTACAAATCATTGGATTTTAGCTGTTTTCAGACGAGTATCCTCTTAGATGAAATTCATCTAGCATATAGGGTAACAACCGCTGATGTTATCCATCCTATTTTAATCAAAGTTTTATTCAGTATATTAAAAAAATGGTCTGACAATAACAGATTTAAATTTTGTTGAATAAGATTAAACTTCTGGACGTACATGAGATTTCTTATAAAAATGTTGAAAGAAACAATTTTCTGACATGTAGATTTTACCATAATCAATGTATTCACGAAAACCTAGAACGAAGCAAACCTGTAAACTGTTCTTTACATCTTTTGAAATAAAAAGAACAGCTTGTTTAAACCAAATAACGCTGGTATTTTTTCTGAGTTATTATCCGAATCAACGTACTGAATAACTTGTAGATGTACTGGCTTTTTATTAAAATTTGTGCACTGACTTGTACAAGTCAACGGAGTTTCTTAAGGAAAAAAATACTACTATTGTGCAGTGGGATGTCTGCTTGTAATAAGTTTTCACGAGACTGTTGTATAATATGCACAACGTTATGTTCCTTTTATCCTGTCATTTTTCTTCTATGGCTCAGTTCATTTAATTAATGAATATTTCTCAAATAAATAACTTAGTAACTATGTAAATATCGCGGAAATCAAGACTAATATAACTGACTTATTTGTCTGGTTGGCAATTCTAGTTTAACCTGTTTTAGTGTATTTGTGGGTGAAATGATATTTAGAAGACAATTTCTCTTATAAACATCTACCTATCTTTAGTCATCTACATGCTTCTTTTAGCCAACAGATTATGTTACCTTATGATTATTGACTCAGTCATCATTCTAAATGGTAGTTGAGTTATATGACAAGAAGTAATGATGTTGCTGATTTTTGTTTGCAGTATATATTTGTGCGGTTTGTAGGTGTCTTTATGTATAGAGGTCACACACATATACACATAGATAAGTAAAACAGCATAGAGAATCTTCATCTATTATTCAATGATAAAAACAACTTGACACTGAGTAATGGCATATATACAAACTCAATCTTGTTTAAACATGTTTTCTAATGTTCATGTATATACAAGTTTAAAAGTGTTTTTTTTTATGGATTATGAACAAGTAAAATCGATCATTAAATATATTGGACATATTTAATTTATTTACTTTAAGATTACTCATTTAATTAGATCATTTAAGTATCCGTGTATGTACTCACGTGTAGTGAATGTCCGTATGATATCTAACTATTTTCGTTTTCATGATAAAGTGAAATATGTATTCACAAACATTTTAAATACAGAATATGTGTTTAAACAACAACGGTGGTAATATGAAAACTGATAGATTCATGAAGATAATCATGGTATATGAAATAAATGTAAATGTAATTAGTTTGTGTGTTTGTGTGGATCATAACAAAGACTTATTTCATTTTTTTCCAATAGTAAGGTCTTATTATAACCATTAGTCAGTTGCTACTTGATTTTCCAAGAGGTGCTTCGACAGAAATTTTCAAAGGAAACCCTGCTTTGTCGATTTTATACATTAAAGATTATACTCAGTAGGGGTGCCATCGAAAATCAAGAAGCGCGGAACAGTTGTTTCACCATAGTTGGGACTCCCCAACTGATGTGAACAGAGAAATAAGAAGCATTGTCAATCAATGGGAGCTATTTTGGGGGACGTTATTTCATTTGATTTTAAGCTTCTAAAACATTGAGATTTATTTTTGTCCCTAGTTTATTCCATAGACCATAGGCTTTTGTTTGACGTAATCTTTACAGCCATAGATTTTTCTGTTCCAAAGTTATTGTTATGTAAACATAATCTTTTGTGCTCTATTTTCTAACCTAATCCCTGGTTTTGGACATAATTGTATTTTCCTAATTGTTTGTGTGCTGTGCTCTTGTTGGTCATTTATTTATTCATGTATCTTTTTACACTAATCTCAATCGGAACCAGACCTGAGTGTGAATCAAAATTGGGAATAAATCGAGTGGTGTTCCAACATGTCTTGTGAGCCGCGCGCTTGTGAGTCAATTAGTTTTTCGTCTCTCTACCACAAGTAGTTAGTCTTACTTCGAACTTACGCACACTAGCCTCAATGTTAAACTAGACATCCATCTTGCCAAAGTCTTAATCTAGATTAGTGGGTAGACAGATCAAGGACGTAACACCAACAGTGCTCACGTACATCTCAACCAGGGATCAAACCTAGAATTTCAACACTTCGTGATGAATGCTTAACACTAGAACTACTACAGCTGATTTCTTCGAAAATGACTTCAGCCAGTCAAAATTTATTACTAGAACTTCAGAAAAGTGATCAATAAGCTGACTCCTATAGTCTGATTGAATATGTGTTGTGGAGATTGGTTTGATTTGTATCTGTTTCAAAGGAGACCAATCTGTAACGAACACAACTTACAAATTCAGCTAGTCTACGCGATACGTTTTTAACTAAATTCTAGTTTCACTGATAGATCATGTTTCATAGGAAGTAACTGAACTATAACTTTGTTATTTGATCTAAATGACTCGATAATATGTAAATGTAACAACTCTCATGTGTTATCTGATCATAATTAAATTAATCCTCAGGTATTTCAACACCATTTACTATTGATAGTATATTTTCACGGAAAAATACTTTATTATTCTTGTATATATGGGGTGCCTAGCCTGTCATATGCCCTGAATGTGTTCTCGTAACTTTTGGGTTGCCTAATCTGCCAAGGGCGATAGGATAGTGCATTATGCTGTTGTTATGTGCTAGGTTCAAAGAGAATTGTATGCTGTATGCATGCAAAAGATAGACAAACAGACAGTGACCGACAAAAACACTTACCAGGACACAAAACATAAATACAAGCAGCTGCTTGTGAATGACCATTACCATCATCAATAAAACAATCAGACTGAGTTATATCAGGTGGATTATTTTTATTATGTACTATGAATTGTGAACTAACTCCTTTATGTTCTTCATTGTAACGTGTTAATTTAGACAATTTATTTTCCATTTCTTTATCATAATATGGAAAACAAGTGATTTTATTTAATCCAACTAATGTATGTGATAAAAGTTTAGATGGTGTTTGACTTTGTCCAGATGCACATTTAATTTGTATGCGACTTTTAACTGATTTTAAACCAGCCTCACAAATAGGATTAGTATATTCTGATTTATAGGATAATCTGTGAATTCGATTGTATAAACTGTCATCGACATAATCGTCATCATCGTCATTGTTGATGCCTGATTGCACATGTAAACTATGAGTCCATGTCTGTAATAGAACAAATGTAAAACAATAATAAAACATAGTGAAATGAATGCATATATATATCCAATCTGCTTTATTGTCCGGTAGGAAAACTGTTTTCACAACGGAACACCATAAAACGAAGAACTATAGAACATTAAGTAGCATTAGAGTGCTGCTTTGTCATAATTGATTACACTCATAATTCAATCAAGGATAAAATTCAGGACTTTCGATCCCTCGCCCGACACGTCATATTTTCAAAAAGTAAACTGGGGCCCATTGGCAGACTTTTCAAACTTCATTTATATGCTCCCAGGTTTGTAATTTTTGTCCTGGTGATATCGGTTTGTGAGGAAATCAAATAATCTTCATGAATATTTTATATCATAAGCTAAATCTGTCCCACAGTTTTATCTTTTTTTGTTAATTAGGATTGTTTATCATTCGATAAACATTTATCGTAAAAGTTAGGCCATGTTAGAATTTTACTGAGACCATAAATGGAATAAAGTTAGTCAACCATTTAAAATCTGGAAGCACCGTTGGAATTTCTTATTTTCTTTTGTAATCTATGAAATTTAAAATGGTATTTGCAGTTGATTATTCTTGAACATCATGAAAAAAGGACACTAATTTGAATTTTAAGAAAAACTTGAAATATATCAAATGATTTATTCCTACAGGGATTCATATTGTCATCATATTTTATAAACATTTTAGACTTTGAAATAGTCCAGAATATTTCTAACAATCATGCGCTAAAACATCAGTTACAATTTGATCTATTCAAATATGACATCATGAGGTTGATTAATTTTAAATACACTAAACACAACACATAGTTAAAGTAATTACAAATATTGTTTTAGCAATAGTATTCACCTATTTATACTTGAACATCTGGGCTACCTGTTCCTGTTATTCTAGATATTTCAAAAAGTTATCTAATTTCATTTGTTTTAACGCATTATTATAGCTAATAATCACATAACCTACTCAATTACATTTCCGAAAAGTGTACAACCTTTCGTTGCACAAGATACAAAAGGTCCAGTCAGAAATATCGTAGTTGCTGGCAATATGCACCGAAAAGAAAGTACATTATTTAGATGTCGATTGACTGGACTGCTAATATCTAACTGGTGACCATTCAATATTTATCGTCAGGATCAACTGAAAAATAAGAAACAGAAACTTTTTGAAATACTTTGTGCTGAGAATACTATATTATACCTGTTGGGGATGTTAGATCTCCAGGACTCACTTGGTAAATACCATATTTCTGTAATTTTCTTTTAAAAATTTGAATTTCTTATTTTCGCGCTAAAAAAGCTAATTCTCAACTTCATGTTGTATTTCCCATTTCTGAGAATCTTAAACGCTATTGGCTCGTTGTATCTTTTAGTATACTATTTTGTAACGCTTCCCAACGACAATTTTATTTTGTATATATATACGTTTGATTTGTGCTTGTTGTTATTGCTTGTGTTTTTGCCTAGTGGCAGAATATATTTCCCCGTTTCGAATATGGACTTATCTCTCTAGTTAGAGAGGATGGAATGCATCAGAATAGCTAGTTTTCTGTCATTGTGTCACAGAATCTTTGTTCCGTTCTCAAATTAGATGAACTCGTCATCACTTGAAACATAGCAGTACCACAAATATATTATTGAATAAAGCTAATAATAATAATAATTTAAATAAATATTTGCATTACCATAAAAAAAGAAGATTTATACTTCACTTATTAACCTAAATATAAAGTTGTTATGTCGTTATAATAATTTTTATTTACCAAAGAATGAAAATACGTTTCAACTTGATTTCTAGATAATCAACTCATATATACAAAATATATACAGATTCCTTTCTTTTTTCTTTAAATGATTATTATTATTATTATTATTACTATGGCTATTTCTTTCTTTATATAAATACTATGAATTTATTTATTCTAACAGATATAAAATATGATAAGTTTTTTTCTAAATATGAAACATGATTTTTGGCATTGTTTGTAACAAATTCAAACAAGATACATTTATATGATAAGAAAAAATGATGAATACAAACAATATTAAAGATTTCTAGGGATGATAATTATTCATTAACTATTTTGGTTAGTCTAGTAATTATGATACTACTGTTATTATTATTTTCAGTTGCAAAGGATGAGAACAAAATAAAAAACCCAGTTTATATTTATAAAAACAGAACAATAAAAACCTGATTGATGTGTATTCATCACAGGTTATATGTTGTATCATTGTTTAAATGTTAATAATGACAATATATATTATTATATTACTATTTTATAATGATTATATTCAATATTTCTTGAAAATTAATTGATAAGATTAGATATTTAAGAAAGTGAAAGTTGAATTTCAGCATAGATTGATATAAACCGAGAAATCAATGAAAACCAAAGAGCACTGGACATGTATTTCGTCTTAATATGAAACTGCTCTGAAATGTATACCTGGAGCATGACTAGAGAGAGAATTGAGGAAATTCAGTTTTCCAAACGAGTACATTACCCCTAAATTAGTTGATGGTCTACATTTTTTATTTCACATGATTGCCAGCATGGCATGAAATCATCCAATTCCATGAATGGGTAACTGGCTCATTTCTGAAAAGATTATAATCCACCAGTCATTTGATATTAATTTATGATGCAATCCATCTCACACTTCTATATACATATAAATCAAAACTCTTCTTAGTGTCATTTATACTTTACAAATCATCGGTTCGATTTTACACTGATTATCAATTTAATCATGTTATTTTAATGATGAGTTTGAGCAATACATTTGTGTTGTTATTGATTTGTGCTATCTGAATATATTAGTTATATACATATATGCACACATTACGTCAATACATCCATTAACTTGTATTTCTTTTTAATTATAATGAACGACATATTTATTAAGGTAAAATATTGTTTTCTTATAAATACTATCGTCAGTTTATTATAACTGATTTGTCAAGATAGACATTTATTTCTAGCATTTTGGATTTGGAATTTGCATCATACATGTATGATCTATCGAATTTGAATTTATGCACAATTTATGAGGTGGATAATCAAAATGTTAAATTTTCAAGTTTCACTATTTTAATTTCTTCACTATAGGTTGTTGTTATTATTGGTATTAGTGTTCAAGTTTGTGTTCTCAAACATGATTAGCTGTCTGATGAATGATCACAACCTACTGTAGGCTAAAAATAACTCGGGATCATACATAAATGCCTATATTTAATTAACGATTAGGAGTTACACTTGGTTTCTATGAAATTATTAATGACTATGAAAACACTAAAATCCTTTACAACATAAGTCTATGTAATGTAAAAGAAAGCTTTATGAAAAGAAAATGGAACTAACTGTTAATGATATATTTTCGAGTTCACAAAAGATCACAAATGTCCATACTCTTCTTGATAGATTAAATATTAGGTATAATTTGTTGTCAACTGGAATTCAGTCTGCTGACAGATTCTGTAATGTTTCAGTTTTATGACAAAGTTAAGACATAGTCACCGAATTTAAATTGTATGAATTGATCACAAATTCCTCGAACACCTATTCTACTTGATCATAGATATAACATTTTAAAAGCAAAGAGTGAAAGATTCCGAAATCCTGGGTTCAAATGCATCAACTAAGATGGTATTATTACCTAACCAGTTTCACTAAAAAATATACTAAACACAGTGAATAAGAAATTTACCAATTTCTAAGAAACATTTTTGTTAAACTTTGACTTCAGTAATATTGTTAATAATGTTTATAACTCAGGATATTCTTTAAAAGTAGTGTTTTAACAGCTTACTAATTGTACAGCACTTGATAGTCAGAGCCACAAATACTTTAGAATTCATGCAAGAAAAGTGCAACAAAAGTTTACTATACCATATTTACTAAATATACTATTTGACAGATGGGTTTTCAGGGTTGATCTAATCAAAAACCTATGCATTTGAGCCTAAGGCTTATTTACTGTTGTCCTTATTTTCTTAGAAACAATTCATTTAGTTTTAATTTTCTACTATAATATATATGAAATGTACTGAATAAACATTATTGAATATTTATTATTATTAATACACCTAATATTATGACCCTTCAATACAGAATAAATATTTAAAAATCTATGGGAACAAAATGTATTCACTATGTCAGTTTATTCTATAGTTTTATAGATAAGTAGGTAGTAAGATGTGAAATATTAAAATGTACGACAGAATTTTCACCTTAAACGTCTATGCGATAACAGTTACCAGGGAAATAGTCATATATGTTGTCCATACATGGCATATATGATAATATGTTATACTAAGACAAGTTCATGCAGCTTTGGAAAAACGCCTATATAAACTTCTTGGGTACATAATTTTTCTAAAAAAATCGAACATTTTTACCGATACATGCAGTCGCAAGACAAAAATGGTATTCCACCTTTTTCAAACTTCAGTATATATTGGTTAGAACGGTGAGAAAGTTTTCATGCCCTAAAACACCATAAACTGGGATAAGTAGTACGCCACTGTTAACAGGAGAAAGAATTTACTAGACAACACATGTAGAAATAATCAACTCATACATAGAACTAGCAATCTCGTTGGTAGAAATCAGTAACAAGAAATACTTTTATATACTACATAGTCTCATTTCTACCCGTCTACCGACTTTCACTCAACAAACTTAAATTTATCATAATAATTGTCATCCAGTTAAGTAAAATTAATTTGTTTATTGATGATAATTAACTGTAAACTTCAGTAATCTTTTTTATGAAACTATATTTTTCAAATATCGATAGGAATCAGTTTAATGTCATTTTTGTATCTTCCCTTTTTGAAATGTTATCACCTTTCAAACTCTCAGTTTCATTAATTAAAGTATCTCAACCTGATGTTTCAAACCAAACTATTCATTGTGATTTGAAGCTGTTAGAAATCATGTTATTCCAAATTTACTCAGTTTGAGAAAATCAGCCTATATAAAGACACAGCGTGTTTCTTTATGTAGACAAAGTGCTTTAACCTGAAACAATAAAAGGGATTTTTTGTAATTTAATAGGTGTCTGATGTGACTGTCAACAAAAAGATTGTTATAAGTTTGAATTAAGCATCACAAAAGAGTCCATCATTTAACAAAACAGTACTGAAAGTAGCAAACTCGAATATGAAGATCTTGTTGTGTAGAAGTAGTATTACTCTGGACTTACAGTCAGTTGTTCTCACCAACATAGAGAGTAACGCAGATGAGGTTTGCTCTAGGTTATCGTATTATTTTAGAACGATGAGATGAAATTAAGAAAATGAGCAGAGAAAGAGATTGCAATAATGTTGTGACAATAACAGTAAGAAAAATAAGCACTGAATGTTTGGAAAATGCTAGAATAGGAAGGTATACATCAATTAATACCAGAATTGAAGATTGAGAGGAAGGTGAAGAATAAATGGATTTGTACCACTGTCACGCGAAGCTTACAGCCGTTGGGCAAAGTTATTTTACTGACCCCAACCAGGTATTCTGATTCTAATAGGATGGCTCTGACCAATAGTTGTTAACTTAACGAACATATGGTACATTTTGATTTAGCATTCTTCCAGCTCACTCCTATACCAGCAAACATTGCCTATCGAGGTTGGTGGTGGCTGGGCATACAAATTAAATCAGTCATTCATGGATTGTTATACAAAAATTCAAGTCATTCAATACAAAACGTTTCAATTAAATATAGCCTTAAGTGAAGAACAAACCCAAACTTTCATAGATTAACTTCCTTCATTAGTACTGAAATTTATTTTCGAAACTTACACTCTTAAACAATTTCCTCAATAGAATACAAACCCAAAATAATTCAACAATTTAACATGTATAGGAATATAATAATACAGAAAATAACAATAATCATGAAAACTTACTGAATTCTTTGCCTTCCAATAAATACCTTTAACTGATGTTGCACAAGATGTTGTACATTCAATAAAAATTCCATTTTCTGTGTATGCTTTTTTATTGATTAAATCAATTGGATTATTTAAAGTACCTAGACCATAAATATGTCCAATCATAGATTTTTCTTGTAATTGGGTTGTATCAACTTTATTAATGATTGTAGGATTTTGATTTACAGTTGGAAGTGTCAACAGTTTCGGTGGATAAACATCTGCTTTTACTACAGGAAATGAACCAAATGGCAATAACAAAAGATTAGACATTTTTAATAATATGGTAATGTAACGATGTTAAACAAATACAAGTTTTGTTTTAATTGTCGAAAAGGTATTATTCTATAGTTTGTTCCAGTGTCCGTCAATGTGATCTACAGTACTGTCAGAGCTATATAGGTTGTTGTCGTCATATCATGGTTATCACCCTTGAGAAGGATACGTCTTGAGGTACTTAAGAAGGAAGCTGGCCTATTATCTATCATGGAGACTTAAAAACATGATCTCAGAGGCCAAAAGACAACTGTCTGAGGGCGGTTGCGTACGAATTTTATGTCAAAAGTTCTTGACTTGTTAGCTCCGTACTTTAAATGTCTTATTCCAGGCGCTCGCAATCCATAGGGTATGGTCAGATGTGCTGTTTTTTAAATTTCACTGTCGTCAGACTACGGTACCGTCAGTGGTAAAACTTTACCTCCGAACATTTAGTTGTCGCTCCTATTTTTATTCTTCTCCAACCAACTTACCCGGCATCGTAGGACACAAAGGAATAAGTGTTCGAGGAAATTTAACATGTGTAGATTGTGTCATATCGGTCGTCGCTAATTATTGTGTCAGAATCGCTTATAACTTTACTTGTAAAACGAGGAACCACTGACGCGAAGTAAGAAAACCAAAACTGATACAAGTAAAGATTTATTAACCCCAAAACACGACGAACCTAGTCGAAAGTATACTCATCTCTATGTTGATTTGTACACCCATTTTGATTAATAATTACGGTGAAATCATATACATATGAAAAGTACTTAGAGTTATGACAAAACGAATATCATGCCGAATATAGTTCATGTTAATTTTGCACATTACAGAATAAGATATCATACTGGAAAACAAAACAAATATTACACTGAGTAATCATTATATTGAATTGAAAACGGAAGTAATGTTGAACAAGAAAGCACAATGAGTGAAAGAATGTAATTTTGACTTTTCTTCACGTCATATCATCTCCCTTTCTTTTATTAGAATACGTAAGAATAAGTTTTCTGTGGAGAGTCTATTCGAAAGGTTTTTTTGTGTACGCACTGAGATCTCGGCAGGTCGCATATTCGTGTACCAGCTTCAGTTGGATTTTTTCAGCCTCATTTGAGAAAAAAATCTATTTAGCCTTCTGACTACCATGGTTTGCTCCTTCTTCCAATGCACATATAGTTCTCCCTCCCTCATGTTGGATCTTCATGCACCCATGTTACTAATAATGTGACTTTATTGACCTGAACTGGTTTATCACTACTAGCACCTTCACTATATGTGCGTATTACGGCATGTGGGTAAACAGAGGTGGATGGATCCTTTTGTCGCTCCTGTGCATTCTGGTTTCGCGACTACTTCACAAACACTTATGTCAATCGATTTTTCATAAGACTGAGGAGGGATTTCATGTGGCATATATGAGGTGTGAGAGCACCCAACATTTGCTACAATGACATCTAAAATGTGACCAGACTATGACTCATTTGAAACATTTTCCTCACACTGAGAAAAAGTGAATGCATTGTGAAGATAAACAACACTTGCTCTTGGTCCATCAGAGTTATAATTAGATTTGAACCCATTGAGAATTTGTGCTTCATACTGACTAAGGTTTTCACTACAAACGAGTGAATTGTGAGAACAAACAACGTTTGTTATGATATCACCAGAATTTGATCCATTTGAAATATTTCTTACACATAGTTCCCTTTATTATCTTAAATAGAGCAAGAACAAAGATTGGTGCAGAATAATATGAATTCATTTTATTTCGTTAGGTTCTCATCAGTTGCTTACATCCTAAATTATTTGAAATTCAACATTATTACAGATATTGACATATTTATACATAAGAATGTGAATAAGGATCAATACATGTGTATGATGATGTAGAAAATATTCAGATAGAGTTAATGAGCTCATAAAATGTTTGATTCGAATAAATAAATAAAGTTATAAAGGGAAAGTTCTGGAACATTGAAATAGTGATTAGAACTCATGAAAATAGATTAATGATAATAAAGAAAATATGAATTAAAACCAATCATTTATGTATGATGTAATTTAAACTTCAGAAAGAGTTGGAAGATGGGGAATGACGTAATAAATAAATAAATAGGAGTAAATGAATAGAAAGGGTGGGGATTATTGTTACCAGGGTAAAGAAAGATTTATTACTGTCTCTTTTTGTATACATAGATCTGGTTTTAAACGTTTGATTGCTATCGCTTCAGCGAATTTCAAAAGGTTAGAGTTTGATTGTTTGTTGATCACCTTGAAGGACTTCAGTATATCAACTTCATGTCCTGTATCAAGGAGATGTCTTGCGATAGCACTGCTGAATGCGTTTAATCCATTTAACCGTAAACTTTTCGGAATATGTTCTTTGAATCGGACGTAGGCTCTCCTTTCTGTTCTACCAATGTAACTGCTTTGGCAGGTACATGTAAATTTGTATACACAATTGGTGGTAACATGAAAGGGATACCTGTCGACCTTTGATTGTGTCAAAGAACATGTTGTTTTAGACAGGACAATCAATTTTGCTGCAGGATAAGTTCTCGTCAGTGCAGTTTTTAGTCTCATATTGATTAATCCTGTGATGTCGTCACCTTTGAATTGAAGTTGAATAAAAATAGGCTTTTTATTTGCTGTAATTTCTTTCGGTTTTTTATCTTCACATTTGCCGTATTTTTCAATAAATTTCAGTGGGTATCCATTATTCTTTAAACATTTTTTAACATTCATAACTTCCTCTTCTAGTGTATCGGAAGTACAAATTCTTTCTGTTCTGTGAAACAGTGTTTTGACCAGTGCTTTTTTGTAACTGATTGGACAAAAGCTATTGAAATTAAGATAACTACCATTCCATGTGTCTTTCTTATAAACTGAACGTTGAATCGTACCATCTTTTCTTCTTTTCATCGCGATATCGAGAAAATGGAACTTGTTTTCTTTTTCATGTTCCATAGTGAAATGGATATTCGGATGTGCTTTGTTGAAAAACTCTAGCAGATTTATTGCATGTTGTTTATTATTACATACGATGAAGGTATCATCAACATACCTCGAATAATACGTCATTTCATCAATCGCTCGTTTGAGTTTGGTTTTTTCGAGGTTAGCCATGAAAATATCTGCTAGGACAGGACCTAACGGACTTCCCATCGCTACACCGTCGGTTTGTTTGTATTTGATATCGTTGAACTGGAACTGAACATCTTTTGTACAAATGAGTAATAGTCGTTTGAATTCTGGTACTGGTAGAGGTAGGATGTCAGAATGTTGACAAATTATGTCTATGGTTTCAAGAAGTGGTATTTTTGTAAACAAAGATGTTACATCAAAAGAAACCATAAACTTACCAGCAATATTTATGTGATTCATGCTGTCAGCAAATACAAATGAATCCTTTAGTGTATAGGTGGCTAATCGTTGACGCACTGGTCAACATTCTGACATCCTACCTCTACCAGTACCAGAATTCAAACGACTATTACTCATTTGTACAAAAGATGTTCAGTTCCAGTTCAACGATATCAAATACAAACAAACCGACGGTGTAGCGATGGGAAGTCCGTTAGGTCCTCTCCTAGCAGATATTTTCATGGCTAACCTCGAAAAAACCAAACTCAAACGAGCGATTGATGAAATGACGTATTATTCGAGGTATGTTGATGATACCTTCATCGTATGTAATAATAAACAACATGCAATAAATCTGCTAGAGTTTTTCAACAAAGCACATCCGAATATCCATTTCACTATGGAACATGAAAAAGAAAACAAGTTCCATTTTCTCGATATCGCGATGAAAAGAAGAAAAGATGGTACGATTCAACGTTCAGTTTATAAGAAAGACACATGGAATGGTAGTTATCTTAATTTCAATAGCTTTTGTCCAATCAGTTACAAAAAAGCACTGGTCAAAACACTGTTTCACAGAACAGAAAGAATTTGTACTTCCGATACACTAGAAGAGGAAGTTATGAATGTTAAAAAATGTTTAAAGAATAATGGATACCCACTGAAATTTATTGAAAAATACGGCAAATGTGAAGATAAAAAACCGAAAGAAATTACAGCAAATAAAAAGCCTATTTTTATTCAACTTCAATTCAAAGGTGACGACATCACAGGATTAATCAATATGAGACTAAAAACTGCACTGACGAGAACTTATCCTGCAGCAAAATTGATTGTCCTGTCTAAAACAACATGTTCTTTGACACAATCAAAGGTCGACAGGTATCCCTTTCATGTTACCACCAATTGTGTATACAAATTTACATGTACCTGCCAAAGCAGTTACATTGGTAGAACAGAAAGGAGAGCCTACGTCCGATTCAAAGAACATATTCCGAAAAGTTTACGGTTAAATGGATTAAACGCATTCAGCAGTGCTATCGCAAGACATCTCCTTGATACAGGACATGAAGTTGATATACTGAAGTCCTTCAAGGTGATCAACAAACAATCAAACTCTAACCTTTTGAAATTCGCTGAAGCGATAGCAATCAAACGTTTAAAACCAGATCTATGTATACAAAAAGAGACAGTAATAAATCTTTCTTTACCCTGGTAACAATAATCCCCACCCTTTCTATTCATTTACTCCTATTTATTTATTTATTACGTCATTCCCCATCTTCCAACTCTTTCTGAAGTTTAAATTACATCATACATAAATGATTGGTTTTAATTCATATTTTCTTTATTATCATTAATCTATTTTCATGAGTTCTAATCACTATTTCAATGTTCCAGAACTTTCCCTTTATAACTTTATTTATTTATTCGAATCAAACATTTTATGAGCTCATTAACTCTATCTGAATATTTTCTACATCATCATACACATGTATTGATCCTTATTCACATTCTTATGTATAAATATGTCAATATCTGTAATAATGTTGAATTTCAAATAATTCAGGATGTAAGCAGCTGATGAGAACCTAACGAAATAAAA